GCAAGTCGCTAAGCATGCTGTTGTCCTTCATGATCTTCCTTATCAATCCCTTCCTTTTCACTAGCATTATCCAGGTCCTAGATTTCAATACCTTATTCCTACTTTGTGCATCAGCCTCCTAGTTGGAATACTCCAAGATATTTTTCAAAGTCTTCATCATTTGTCTATTTTTTCATTTTCTGTTTATAAACAATTGTGTTTTACATTGTTTTTCTAACTCTGTTAGTGCTGCAATCCCTCATGGCACTATTTTGAAATGTTTTCATTACTATAAAATTATGAATATGGGCCAGGCGCCGTGGCTCACGTCTGTAATCCCAGCACTTTGGGAGGCCAAGGTGGGTGGATCATGAGGTCAGAAGATTGAGACCATCCTGGCTAACAACGAAACCCCGTCTCTACTACAAATACAAAAAAATTAGCCGGGTACGGTGGTGGGTGCCTGTAATCCCAGCTACTTGGGAGGCTGAGGCAGGAGAATCGCTTGAACCTGGGAGGTGGAGATTGCAGTGAGCCGAGACTGCGTCATTGTACTCCAGCCTGGGTGACAAGAGCGAAACTCTGTTGAAACAAACAAACAAACTCCTGTCCTCTAGTAATCCTCCCTCCTTGGTCCCCGCAAAGTGCTGGGATTATAGAAGAGTCACTACACTCAGCCAAGTTCTTCATTTTTAAAGAAGTCCAATTTACTTTTTTCCCCTCGTCACTGTGCTTCCCTTCTTTCTTACTAGACCCGCACCATTTGCCAGAGCACTGACTCCATGGAACCTGTCTTTTTCTGGACACGAAGGCACGCGGTGGCTGGAATTACCTACCTATACAGTTCCAGCTAGTCTACTTTTTGCCAAAGCGTTTTTTCCTAACTTTGAACCCTATTATAGTCTTAAAAGAGACTAATGTAGAAAAAGCTAAATACTGATACCAGAATTAACCCAAAAGGAGAAAAGGCAGAAATTCTTAATGTGGTCAGAAAGCTTGCTGAAAAGAAACATTTCCAGCATTTTCACACACAAAAAAGGGAACTAAATGTTATACTTGAACTTGCCAGTTATAATGCAGTGGGTTGAATCGTGCTCCCAAAAAGATATGTTGAAGTCCTAACCCCCTCATACCTACTAAAGCAATCTTATTCGGAAATGGGGTCTTTGCCGATGTGATCAAGTTAAGATAAAGTCATGCTTAATCAGGGCGGGCCCCGATCCAATATGACTAGCGCCCCTTTTAAGAAAACAGAGACGCAAAACCAGGGAAAAATATCATGTGGCGACTGAGGCAGGGATTGGAGTGATGTATCTCCAGGCCGGGAACACCAAGGATTGCCAGCAACGTGGAAAGCTAACACACAGACCCGGAAGACTCCCCCAGCACGCTCAGAAGCAGCGTGGCCCTGCCAGAGCCTTGGTTTTAGACTTCTTGCCTCCAAAACGGTGAGAGAATACATTTTTGTTGTTTGTGCCAGACAGTTTGTGGTACTTTGCCATGGCAGCTCTAGGAATTGAGACAGAAGAACCTTTTAAATATTGTATGATTCTACTTACACGAGGTATATAGACTTGTCAAATTCAGAGAGACAGAAGGTAGGATGGTGGTTGCCATGGGCTGAGGGGAGTGGGGAAGGCGGAGTTATTGTTTAGCGGGTATGAAGTTCCAGTTTGGGGAGATGAAAAGTTCTGGAGATGGGTGGTAATGATGGCTACAGAACAGTCTGGAAGTAATTAGTGCCACAGAACTGTACACTTTAAAATGGCCAATTTTGTTACGTATATTTCGCCACAATTAACCCTCTTCTCCCCAAAAGAAAAATGTTTTTTCTAAGGAATGTGAGCTCCTTTAAATGACCAGGGCCAGAAAGGCATTTAGAATGTAACAGAGGTCATGTCACACTTCCCCATGAGCTAAATAACTACTTCTTGAAGCCACTTCTATTCAGGCTCTAGACTAACGCCAAGCAGTCATAAAATGTCATACACATTACAGTTTAACTATGTACAGCCAAGCACTAACCAATGTTGTTTCTGTAAACCCATGAGAATTCCTGACAACATTTGTAATTGCCCCCTTTCCTGATTTGTGTTTTCTCTTTAAAAACGTGAGCCTCTCTTTTGTTCTATGCAGCACTCAAGGCAACCTGGCAGTGTGTCCCTGTCTGTAGTCTTCAACTTCTGAACTTGAATACATTCTCTTTAAACCTGATTCTGACCTTTTTGATCATTTTGGGCAGAGAGAAACTAATACTTACAATAAACCAAACGCTTCAGTTATAATTAAAATTCAACCAGAATATACCATATTAAGACTAAATTCTTGCCAGTTACTTTGTCCTTATATATAAACATGTACACACATTCTCATGCTAAAATTTTGTATTAAGCACAAAGCAAGTAAGAGTTTAAGCAGTTTAACTGTGCAAAAAGCAGGAAGATTAAAGTCACTGCAGCATTATACTATGCGGACACAGAGGCCGGAGGTGACAATCACTGCTAACCAGTGACCTCAGAGAAGCAATGAAACCAGTATTCAATGCTTTCTGTCCCAGGCAAAATGGCTCCAAGGCCCCAAGAGTGCTTCGTTTGTCTGTCTTTTCCTCAGTGCTTAAATCACAGAAGGAAGCCAGGATACCCAAAAGAGTTGCAAGGACAGCTTAAATGGAAAACACAGACACGAAAGAATCAAGCGTCACTGAGAATGTTTATAACATAACTGTTACGGGCTGAATCGTGTCCTTCCCGCACTCCCAAAATAAATTCAGATGCTAAAGTACTAACGTCAAGTACCTTAGGATGTGACCTTATTTGGAGACAGAGTCTTTGCCGAGTCAATCAAGTTAAAATGCAGTCATTAGGTGGGCCCCAATGCAATATGACTGACATCCTTGTAAGAACAGAAAATGGAGACATAAAGGAAAGACAGGTACAAAAGAAGGACAATGTGAAGACACAGGGAGAAGATGGCCATCTGCAGACAGGGAGAGGCCTGGAGCAGGTCCTTCCTCACCGCTCTCAGAAGGAACTACCTTGCTGACACCTTGGTCTTGGGATTCCAGCCTCCAAAACTGTGAGAAAATTAATTTCTGTTGTTAAAACCACCCAGCTTGCACTTTTTAATGGCAGCCCTAGCGAACTAATGGAATAACAAAATAAGAAAGGTATTTTGCTGACTGAACTCAAAGAGGGGCACTAAAAAAGATTAGAGTGGCAAGAAGGCATGCCTCTGCAGTGTTCTCTTTCAAACAGTTACCCATCTGTCTGGAAGTGAAGCATCTTCTCTGCAAGAACAGTGATAAAAAGGAGAGCAACAGAGTCCACGCTCTTGTAGGAATTCATCAGATCAAGTCTCCTTAGCTCAAAAGCCCATTTAAAGACGTCCTCATTCAGAGTAAAATCCCAAGTCCCCGCAGTACCAGTCAGGCCCTTGTGACTGGGTCCCCTGCCGCCTCTCTGAGCTCGTGTTTGGCTTCTCTCCCTTTCTTCAGCCCCATCAGTTTCCATAAACCCTGCAAGTTTCTGTATCAGGATTTGGCACCTGCCCTTCTCCAGATACCCCAAGGCTTCCAGATCACTGCTCAAAGCCCACCATCTGAGTGAGGTCTTCCCCAACTCACTAACTGAATGCAGAATTAGCCTCCCCTGCAGCAGAACCAGCGCTCCCTACCAGGGCTCCCTGCATCCCAACTTTGTTTTTCTCCAAGGAACATGTGACCATCTGAAATCAGCACATATTTTCTGGTGATTGTCTAACTTCCTCCCAGCCTAGTTTGGGGAATCAGAATGCAGAGGTTTGGCTTTGTTTACTAGCGTATCATTACCATTCAGTAGGTGCTCAGTAAACACTGCTGAATGGACATACTTGCACAGGCTTCCTTACAGGCTGAGCTGAGGAATCAGTGCCTCTTCATAGTCTATACCTGTATTTGCTTTCTACTTGCTCCTACCTTCTGTCAGGCTCAGGCAGCGAGTCCAGGTCCAAGCCCCCAGCCCGAGCTTCCTTTGCTTCTGTGTGCTGATGAGAAACCTGAAAGCATGCTTTAATGTCTTTGGCCCAACTCTTCCCTGTTCTTTTAGCACTCTACTTCCTCTCCTTGGCAGAGACTGGAGCAGGCCTGGAGGTTTTTGTGGAATGTCTATTGTTCCAGGTGGAAGCCGTGTTTGCTACCCCTCAGCTGCAAAGCAAGACCTGCTCTGCACTCTACATTTTACACATTCTCTACCTTTGTATATGCAAGGGGGAATATTCTAGCATCAGGCAAACTACAAGGGAGTTGAGAGCCATCCTCACACCTTAATCATTCTTCGGTATCCTGCCTGGGAAAGAATCTTACTTCACTGGAAGAGAAACAGGAAGAAAAGGATAGAGCAATACATATATATGTGTGTATATGTGTGTGTGTGTATATATGTGTATGTGTGTGTGTGTGTGTGTATGCCACCCTCCCCGCCCCCCAACAAAACTACAACACAAGAGTGGAAAGACAGAAAAAGCTATTAGCAATCCGACGCTTAAATAAAGGAAAAATATTTTATAATTCCTTTAAAAAATGCTTAAAAAGGAAAATAAAGGAAAAGATTAAGTAAATTATGAAACCCCAACTTATTGGAGTCATTTAAATGACCATCAAGATTATGTTTCAAGATAGAAATATTAAATTTCAATATGTGAAAAAGAATTATGTAATCGTGTTTAATTTAAAAACAGAAAAGAAACATTATATACTGAATGATTCTAACCTTCTAAAAATTATGACTGCAGCTGAATAAAGTTTATACGGGAATACAGAAATACAAACAAAGGTTTTTGTTAGGATGAAATTATATGTACTTCTCTAATAGTATTGTATTGTTATAATAATACAATATTGTTCTAATAAATTGTTCTAATAAATTGAAATATTTAAATGTAAACCAGAAAAGCTCCTATTTGCCAAAGACCTGACAGGAGGGAGAAGCCCGGGGCTCAGGCTGCCCTTTCAGATGCGGAACTGAAGAAAACAAACCCGCTCTTACCTTTGTGCCTCTTCAGTTGGGGAAAACTGCTGATTGTAGTCGCTTGGATTATTTCCACTACAATTTGATACCTGATTTTTAAAAAGAGAAAAGGAAAAAAGATTTAAGAGGAAGAAAATACTATTTTCAGAAATAACTTTAGACTGTCTTTATACTAAACAAATATCACATGGGAGCTGAATCCTGCCCACGGCTCATTAAAATAATCGACAGGGACCGAGCATCTGCAATAGGCCGGGCCCCACGCTACGTGCTAGTCACTTCTGAGGCCTTCATGTAAACACCACGAGCCTCCTCACCCCCACTCTGTTCCCCATACCAGAAGCATAACTGCTGTAGAAACTGAGGTTATGCTCAGCCTCCCTCTCCTCCACACTCCTAGGTGAGCAGAGCTAGCTGATTCCACTTCTTACATTTGTGCTGTCCAATAAGGTGATCACGAGCTACATGTGGCTATCCAATTAAACAAACAAACGTTTAGTTCCTCAATCACACTAGCCACATTTCAAATGATCCACAGTACCTGTGACTTGTGGACCATGCTGGGCGGTGAGAGTAGAACATTTTCTTCACTGCAGAAAGTTCTACTGGATGGTGCCGTCTTCAATCGTTCTCAAAGCTGTCCTCTCCCGGGCAGCCCCACTGCCCCACCTGAGTGCACTGCCTCATTGCTTCTCATTTAGAAGACGGTCCCCAACCCAACAGAATCAAAATATCTGCACCAGGACTTGCATCAATATTTTTAAAGCTCCCGTGGCAATTCTAAGGCACACGGAGAGCTGAGAAGCATGAGATTAGAGCACCAGCTATATATATGTGTGCCTAAGAAGACCTCCAAGTCAGGAAAAATAAATACAATTCTACATTTTAAGTGCTGAGTACAACCCTGGAGTTGTAGCTATTTTAAGCATAAATTCAATGCTTTTACAAATCCAAATTCTTAAGTGCCCTTTAATGATTACTAAGTATTGCCCTAATCAAACTGGCTTATCCTGAGTGTTTCCTAGCCCTTAATTATATGAATTAATTTCATCTGCTGGTAATAAAATTATTTAACATTAATTCTTACTTTGAACACAAGCCGTGCAGTGTTCTAAGATTTAATGTTATATATGGCTGGCTTTTAGAGCACACAATTACATACATTCTTTTGCTTTCAACTAAAACCCAGAGGAGAGACAAATTTATCTTAGTCATAGCTACTTGTGGACTCCTCACAAATTTGCATCTTATTTTTTCATTAGGGTAATATAAACATCAGTGCTTGACTCTCATGACCTCAGAGCAGGCTGTCAGGATCAGTGTTGGCATGCCAGCCAGAGATGGTGGCAGACGCTGCCCGCTGCCTGCCCAACGTCCAGTCTCCCTTCCTTCCTTGCTAAGTGACCTACAGTTTTATCAGGGAAAGTGACACACCTAGCTAAAAAGGCTAGCTTTCTCCCCAGCAGTCAGAGATGGCCAGGTGATACCATTCTAGCCTTGGAGATAGGCAAAAGTCATTGGGCAGGGATTCCAGGAAAGTGGGCTAAAAGTAGCCTCCACAGAAAAGCCCTTTCCAACTTTAGTCCTCATCTTTCCCTCATTTTTCTGTGTAAAACAAGGATGCAATTGGCTACAGGCACAGCAGTACCTTACAATCATGAGGGTAAAAGCCACAGGCTAGGCCGGGCACAGTGGCTCACACTTGCAATCCCAACGTTTTAGGAGGCTGAGGCAGGAGGATTGCTTGAGGCCAGGAGTTCAAGAGCCCAGGCAGTATAGTGAGATCTCATCTCTACAGAAAACTAAAAAGTTGGCTGGGAGTGGTGACGCATGCCGGCAGTCCCAGCTACTCTGGAGGATGAGGCAGAAGGATCGAGTGGACCCAGGAGTTCAAAGTCACAGTGAGCTATGATTGCGCCACTGCACTCCAGCCTGGATGACAGAGCAAGACCCTGTTTCTTCAAAAAACAAAACAAACCCCCAAACAGAAAAAGGCCAGGTGTAGTGACTCATGCCTATAATCCTAATACTTAGGGAGGCTGAGGTGGGAGGATTGCTTGAGCCCAGGAGTTTGAGACCAGCCTGGGAAACAAAGGGAGATCTTGTCTCTACTAAAAATAAAAAAAAAATTAGCTGGGCGTGGTGGTGCACACCTGTAGTACCAGCTACTCAGGAGCCTGAAGCAGGAGGATCACTTGAGCCTGGGTGGTTGAGGTTGCAGTGAGCTATGATCGTGTTACTGCACTCCAGCCTGGGCAACAGAGCAAGACCCTGTCTCAAACACACAAAAACAAAAACTACAAGCTAAGGATGATGCAATAAGAAGACAGGAGGAGTTCAGGGTTCCAATGACATCATGAACCATCAAAACAGCCCCCAACTACCAATCTCAGGACATGTGGTGACATGGGAGAAATAAACACCTATCTCATTTAAGTTGCTGCATGTCAAGTTGTCTTGTGGCCAAATGCCACTCCAACTGATAGAGAGCTTTCTGAGGAAGACTTAACATGCTTCCACACAGCAATTCCAATTTCAAGAATTTATCATAAGGTAACAGTTTAACAAAAGAAAAAAACAAACATAAAAACCCAAAGCCCAAACTATCATATACATGTTTGTTGTAGCAAGTTCTACAAAGAAACACATGAAAATACTCATGGTCAATAATGAGTACGGCCAATAATGCTTTCATTAAACAAACGCTTCTTAATCTTTTCTTATGTTCTAGACAGACAGAAATGAACACCACCAATATGGTCCTTGCTTTCAGGACATATCAGATTAAACAGAAAGCATCCAGCCAGTAATACTTATAATAATAAAGACTATAGGAAAATAGATGTTTATGACAGACTAATTTTTAAAATGCAAAATGGCACATACATTTATGATGGCAAATATGTATCTTTGTGTATATATGAGCCAGAAGTACGAGACAAAATAGAGATGAAATGAAGGGCAGTGGTGTTAAAATGATAGACTTATGAGTCATTTTTAACTTTTTCTAAGCTGTTGTATCTATCTACCTGTGTACCTAAGCCTATTCAAGCTGAACTAACCTTCTTTCTTCCATAGTAAGGTTTCCTTACCTCTCCATTTCTCTGCTAGTACCATCATCCTTCTCAAAATCATCTTAGGTATCTACACTACCAATAAACACCAGTTTCAAAGCCCTGTGGATGGTCCTTTGAATGCCTTTAAACAAGCTCCTTGCTTACTCTACCTCCGGCTACCACCATTTCAGGCTGCCTTCTTTCCTGTGGGTCACTGCAATGGCTGAATGATCTGTCCCCCTGACTTCAGTCCTCTCTCCCATCCAAACCAACCTGGGCACCTGTCAACACACCCTCCTACGGGACCACTCTCCTCATCTCTCCCTTGTTCAATACCCCCTGCACCTCCCCAAATGAATAACCCCACGTTCCTGCCTGCATTCCCTTCACAACTTGGCACTAGCTCTGTTATCCAACAACTTCATTTTTTTTTCTCCCTATGAATGTGAACCTAATTAAGCCGGGCTGGTTTCTATATTGCCTTCTCAAAACTACAGTCTTACGCTTCATTTCCTGCTGGAAGGCAGTCTTCCTACTTGTCCACCTACCTGGATCTTACATATATTACTTCTTCCCTCAAGTCTTCCCCATCCCTATAATGCACACCAATATCTGTCTTCTCTGAAATCCTGAATTACTTCTGCTCTATAGTAGTAACTATTTACTCTTTCATATTGCTGTTTTAGAGTCACACTTCCACAAAGAATGCTGTGAACAAAGAAAACGGTGTACTCAGTCATTTCAAGGCCTAATACACCTTCAAAGAATGTTGACACACTTTTGAGCCTAAGAACATAGGCTGAAAACTACAAAACCATAGTTTTGTGTATAATAAAGATATACTACTTTTTTCTCCCCAACTAGATCAAGAGCCTCTTAAACACAGGAGTTCTGTCTTACATTCTCCTATAGTCTATAGCTTGGCACTAAGCATATGGTAGGCACTCAATAGATATTAATGAACTAACAAGAGTCAACATTTCTAACACTTAACAGGTACAAATAATATTTTGAACAATTTATTCTTTTGATATTCTTAGTGATTCATGCTTTGGAACAAATGAGTCATCAAGGGTACCAAAGAAAATACACACCATCCAAGTAAAGAGTTAAAGATTTGTTTTAACGAAACCATAAAATTATAATGTAATACCAGCTAACATTCATAGATTGTACTGGCTACCTGTTTCGATATTTTAATTTACATTATCTCACTTAACCCTCATAATAAGGTTCTATAGTTACATCCACATTACAGAGAAGGAAATTAGAATTCTATGAGATGTATGAGATCTCATAAGAGATCTATACAAGGTCCCATTGCTTTTCAGTCCTAGAGACGGAATGACAATCCAGGGCTGCCTGGCTTCTAAAGCTCATGCTCCTAACCATTTTCCTGCTACTCTAAAATTCAATATAGGTTAATACTTATCTTCTCTAGGGTTATTCTAAGTACATAAGTATGGCCAATGCCAGATCATCTTTCCAGCTTTACTGCCTTCTATATCCCTCCTGCATACTGTTTCCGCCAAACCAGACCAAATGTGATACCATGAACACACTCCAGGTCTTTCCTAACTCCTTTCTCATTAATATTTCTCCTTCTTCTTAACAGTACTCCTGATTCTTCCTGCACACCATCACTTCCCCTTATCTGCTGAAATCCTATTAACTCTTATTCAACACTCCATTCATGGCCATTCCTCTCTGAAGCTTTCTTAAGATTTCCCTGCTGTAGAATAAAATATTTGCTCCTACCCACTTCCTTGGTGCTTTACACTCCATTTCCAGTCTTAGGATCTTGCTTCCTGCTTAGCTACTTATAGTCACATGGGTCTCTTGTGCTGGATTGCAAACACTTGAGGGCAAGGGGTGGAATCCAAGGAGTGTAACCAGTTCATCTTAGTACTCACCAGACCTTCTGCACACAGCACTTTGCACATAGTGGGTATCTGAAGATGATTATTGAATTTGTTTAATTCACTGTTACTGGATATCAAGAGGAAATGATTGACTTTTTCATTCTTGTTTTT